TGCAAGGGGAAGCTGCAGGAACAGGCTTGCAACAGTGTTTTCCTATATTTTCATGTATTAAAAATGACATGCTGTACCTGGCAACCACTCAGGATTTGACTTCAGCTGTGAGCTTTCAGTAATTAACTAGCAACTGTGAGGTGACTTAAGGACAGAACAACAGCTTGTACTTTGACTCCAAGGTATGACCCAAAACCTAACTGTTCTCACCCTATTCACTGGGAGGGAATAATGTTGAGTATCATATGTCTATGCCTCAGGCACAAGTGAAAAAAAGAGCTTTTACTACATCCCAGAAGGCCATACAACTGTGGCTGAATTCATCAGTCTTGGTATCATATGTTCAGATGGATGTTCAGGAGATCTGACCCCTAAAATTTTGTGTTCAAGGCAAATAAGCCACACCTCTTTGTGTTGTTATAAGGCAAAGCAAAACCAAATATATCTGATGTTATAGAAGCATCCTCATGTGCTTTTCCTCCTAAAAGAGGACGTTAGAATCACAGCATTCCATTGGAATAGAGCTGGTTTATACCAGTGAGGAAGCTGTGGGATCTATCTTTGTGGCACCTTCCTACTGTCACACAGTTTAAAGATCTACAACAAAAAATTGCTGCTGCTGTTGGTGTGCCTATCTAATGATGGGGATGCTCTTAGTTCACTTCTCATCAATCATGTGCTGGAAGTCAGTCATAATGTTTTATAAATGAGAGGCCAGAAAAAAACAATGATCTCCAGCTACTTTGTGCCGCAGTGGCATCTTGAAGCTGCCAGCTCAGCTGGAAGGTTAATGGCTGTTACATTCAACAGCAGCAAGAATATGCCTGGTTTATGGCTGGCAACGGTAACACTGTGCCAAAAGGGGAAAACAAAATTCACAGGGTATTTGAGGTTCCATATATATTCTGTTCTGCTTAAGCTCTTCTGTCCCACATAAGTAAAGAATAATCATTTTTCTAAAAAATACTTTCAGTGCTGTAGGCAATACTGCGAATGCTAAAGACTCAAAGAATGTAGAATTTCCCATGAAAGCATAGCACTGAGAAAGAGTCTCAGTGGTGGGAGAGAGTGTTACATTTTGCACAAGAAACTACTTCTTAATAAAGGTGAATCGGGTTTTTTATGGCACTTAGAGGGGGAGCATTGAAGTCCTACATTACACTTTTCCATTCAGACACCAAAAATAGAAAGCTAAGTCATTTCACAGAGAGTCAGCAATCCATTTAGCTAAACCGGTCCCAACCTAACGATGAGTACAAAGGGGAAATCATGTTCAGCCCTGTTTCTGCTGTGTTTGAACATTGTGTTGCAAACGTGGAACTGCCAGTACAGTGCAGTTTGCTTCACAGGATTTTGACTCCTTTGCCCATGAGATGTTTCATTTTATAGACTAAAGATTCCCTGGGCCAGGTCTGGCAATGGCGTATTTTGGCAGCATGCTTTGGCAGCTAAGAGACCTAATTCTATCCCTCTGGCAAATGGACAGCTATCCAATCTAATGAGTGTTTTTCAGTAAATTATTCCAAATTCAAAATACTTCAGAAGTACTATGATCTGTTCAGTTGCAGTATGCAGAAGAGAAGAAAACATGAACTGGGTCAGACACCTAGATCTGTACCCCATTTCTGAGAACAAGCAGTATGCAGCACACAGGGAGAGAAAACAGCATGCAGATCCCCGAAATTCCCTTCCTATTAGCTTTGAAAGGCCATACTTTCAAAACATACCTTGAAAGAATTTCTTGGCAGATGCAAAAATCATCATTAAAAAAAAATAAAAAGAAACTGAAAGATCAGATCTAAACTAAATATAATGTATACTGTGTCATACTGAGACAACCAATGGTGTGATGTCCTAACAGAAAAAGAAAACTGGATCAGAAACACTATTCCCAAGGAAAATGTCAATAGGCAAACCAGCCGTTGATCAGGAAATAAGCCAGGATCTGCCAGTAGTCACTAGCCCATACACACTCCTGCACTGCAGGAGAACCACTTTAGCACATGTGAAGAAGCTCTGCTGGCATCACGGAGCTAGTGCTGGTTACTGCGGGGCAGGGATTTTTCCTCTGGGCCTTTGGTGAGTGAATGAAGGAGTTCCCCCACTGTCACACTGCCAAGGTGAAAAGGGAGAGCAGGAAGGCTGGCAGGGACAAGGCAGGCTGCGGAGACTCAGCCTTATGGAGAGAACACACACTGTAAAACCCAATGAACCCTTTTCTTTTTCCTCACTGCACTGTCCTGAACCACCCTGCCCAGGAAGTCCCTTTTGCCAGCACCTCGTATGGCAGAATGCAGGAGGCTGTGCTGTGTGAGACCACAAGCATCTGGGCACTAGAGGAAATCTGCTGGGCATGGTCATGTTTTTTCCAGGTCCTTCCCCACCAGGAAATGGCACCCTTCAGTCAAGACCCCTCCTGGGACCTGCACCATCAGCTCCCTGCACCAAAATCCCTCATTTTGTTTGAAAGAGAGTATTTGGCGTGGCTCAGGCAAAGGTTCTCTATCTTATTTAAACAGTGCATTAAAAATCCAAATGCTGGGCACACAACTGAGCAAGGAGAAACAAACGTGTTTGTTCTTCACGTGAGGGCTGGGTTTCTGCCTTGCTTAACATAGCACTGTGCTTAAGGCATCCACATGAGTGGTGGCCAGGGCCCAGCAGCAAGGCCATTCCTCATGGCAGCCAGGCAATGGCAGGTGTGACATTGCAACTCCAGCATCCCCCATGAGGGAGTGGGCATATAGCCACCCTCACTGTGCAGGTAGAACACCGAGGCTGTGCTTATGGGACAAGTAATTCTCCTTCTCTCTCTCCCTCTCTCTTTGTCAGCTCACCTCAGACTCTGAAACTCAACCTGGTCCCACCTGTGGTGAATCATGCAAAGCAATAAACTCTCTCCTAGAAAGTGTTCTCAGTAAAGGCCTCCAAGTAAATCTTCTTGCAGATGAATCAGGCTACATAACACAAGAGATCCTGTTAAGCCTTGCAAGGGAGCTGTGAGAGAAAAACAGAGTGGAGCTGACTGATTTCAAACAGACAGGGGAAGGATACCCTCTTATCCTCAAATGATGCCACTCTCCCAGCACATCTGACCACAGCAGAGCCAGCAGAAGAAAGGAAGTTTAAAAAAAATGCTAAATCTGAAGAAATTAACTTCTCAAATCTGAACACTATAAAAAGAAGTTCACCGCTCTTATCACATTTGGCAGCAGCAACAAGGCTGTGATATTTCATCTCTGGTGCTCATTATCTCTGGATGAAACCAACCATGGAAGGGATTCTGAGGCCTTGCCCTGCCAAGCAGAGTTTTGAAGCAGGTTTGTCTTCACTCCTCCTGAAGTATCTTTGGAAACTAATGCCAGCCAGATTTTTTTGTAGTTTGTTGTTTTTTTGTCTCATTTCTTCACAGGTAGTTTTTTCTGATGTCAGTGAATCAGAGCAATGGGAGAATATCTCCACATAGTTAAAGCTGGCTTCCAGAGCACAACAGCACTAGGAAGATTATGATTCGTAAGGCAAATTTGTGGTACTGTTCGTCTCCAGCCAATCCAGAATGACAACGTTGGTGATTGTAGGCTGCTCTATAACAACTGTTCTAGGAGGGAAGGAAGGAATGAAAGACAAGTAGCGAAGAAAGACATTGCCACACTGCCAGTGGCAAAATCAAGACCTTCCAAGGGTCTGGCAGGCTGGTGTGGTATAGAGAAAAGACCTTTGACCACAGGGAGTGAAAAACTGTATTATTTTTGCCAAAAAAGTGCCATTCCTGCTCTAAACTGAGATGTTTTGGTACTATCAGTCTAGAATCACTGTCTGGTCTTATCTTGGACCTCTTCGATGGTCTTCTCCAGCTTAAGTACCCCATCAATCCCAGGCCAAACATATCCTGGCATCACTGCTGTCTCACAGCAGAGGATCCCTTGGAAAATAACCAAGCCACCTAAAAATTCACTTTCACCCAGCAGCTTCTGCCAGACTTTAATGCAATCTGGGCCCTGGAAAACACAGCTTTACTTGTTTTAATTAAAACCAAATCCCTCCACCCAGACTTCCCTCTCTGACATTCTCTCTCTCTCTCTTTCCCCAACAATCTGACGCATTTTTGCAGACATGTCATCAGACTCCAGTTCAAGGGAGGGGAACAGCCATCTAGTACAGCATTTTGCATCAGTATCCCACCCTTCTCTAGGGGAACTGACATGATGGACTTGGCAAGCAGTAGAGGGACTTCAGTGTGAGTGATGGAATATGTGTACGTGTCAGCATGTATGCGCCTCAGAGGGAAAAGGGAAGGTGCACAAACATAAACATCCCCATACGAGCCCCAGCTTCACCCACTGCTCCAGAATCAGGCAACTGCTTCCCAAGCACCAGCTGGTACTGATCTTAAAGGCTGACGTGGATGTGAGATAACATGCTCCTTACTGATAACATCACCAGCAACAGCCAGCTCTCTGAGTGCAAACATGTGAATTTCTAATGATGCCATAAACTGCCACACTTACAGAATAAACTTAACAGTATTTTGGAGTTAGGAACCAGACCGCTTCTTTCCCCAGCCTAAATGCACACAGCCTCCAGACAGCTTGAGTCCCTCTCTATGTCTCTTTTCTCCATTGACCTGCTCAGCACTTTTCACAGCTAGGTGCATCCACAAACGTGGATGTTCAGGCTGAGATGCTTGGTGGGAAACTTAGTGAAATCAGAGCTGTCTTCCAGTGACATGACAAATGTTAAAACCTACATCGTGCACTCAGCAGGCAGTGCTCAGCCTATTAAAAATCCCAGTTGTTTATTTAGCTTACTAACAGCGGCTTTAAAAGCTAACTTTAGACTCCTACCTTTGAAAAATCCTTTTGCCAACCTTACCACATTTAACAAAACACACATTTTGCCATTTGCCTTGTGCTCACATACTTTATTTAAAAACATCACTGTTTTATTTTAATACGTGGAAAATACCCATTTTTAGGTTACCCATTAATTATCAGAGTCATTAGTAGGGAGCTAATCATTATAGCAAATAATTCAAAGGTGTGTAAGTCTAATTAAGCATATGTGTGTGCCTAACAGTTTCCGGGGAATGACACACATGCATGCTTTGCAATTCCACCAGATCTCTGAGGCTTGCTCCATTGCAACCTGAGAGTTTTACTAGGGCCAGACTCTCAGCAGGGCCAAAATGGCTAGGGCCCAGAGGCTTTAGTGAAATAACTGTGTGGACCTCGCCCTACTCTCTTCCTCAAAAGAGTTCTGGGTTTGCATTTTGAAATTAACAAGGAATAGAGTTTTTACTTGCTGTAATTAGTGTTGCCTGTTTCACTGAGTTCATTTTAAGCTGTTGCTACATCTGTGCAGGTTGAACAGCTTGGATAAGGTATACAGCTTGGATTGCAAGGGGGGAAACTTTCTGGCCAGCCTTCGCAAGGCTCCAAATCAGAGCACCACAAGAACCCTCATCATTCTTTGCCTGTTTTGTCCAGCTGGCAGGTGTTTGGGGACAAGAAGAATTTTTTTCCATGTGTTTAACTACCACCTATACAAATGCCAGCCACAGCATATTTTACATCTATTTCTCCTCTCATAAGTGGAGATCACCCAGGGATCTCACAAGGGCACCTTGGAACACCATTCCTCATTCAGAAATTATTCCACATCAAAAGGGCTCAAGCAATCCTCTGTGCTGCCTGGCATTCTGAAGCTTGCCCACTGGAAGTTGTAATAAATTAGTATAACTCTGCTTAATAACTCATAAAGAGAAGACCATTTGTCACTGCATCATGGAAATAGCTCACAGCCTTTTGCCAGGCATGCAAGAGTAGCTGCATGTCTACGAAAGCCAAGAGCAGGCAGACTAGCAAACCCTCAGTGTTGGCATAAGGAGGGTAAGTTTACACATCAGCAAGGTCATGCTACCCAGTCCAGTGCTTTGCAAACCAAAATACTAGGTACTGGCACCCTACCAAATGAAAATTCTGATTGCCAATGCACATCTTCATCATGCCTTCAGAACTCTTACGGAGACACTTTCCTTTGCAAGCCAAGCCATGTCTCCATAAGTAGAGGTGATGGCTCAGGAAACTGAGCTGCAGAGTAGTCTCATTCTCCTGCAGTGCTGCTCTGTACCATATGGCTCTGGTAATAGATACAGTGCAGGACCAGAAGCAAGAAGGCATCTCAGGGCAGGCCATGCACAAGGTGAAAAGCTCTCCCTCAGAGACTGACAGCATTTTCTTTTTGCCAGTTTAAGCTATTATTTGGAGTGGCATTCACCAAGTAAGCAGATTTGGAATAAGTGAGCATGCATCCACAGATTTTAGCACAGACATCTCACCTGTGAGAACCTGGAAGGGGCCTTCAGGAGTTATGTCTTAAGGAAGTCTGCACTTCCCAATTCAAGAGGCATGCAGTCTCCTACACAAGTGGGAAGGTTCTCCCACATGGCAACCTTGTCCTGTTCCATGCTCCTACAGACCCACGTATTTAGACACAGAGTGTCCTTGCTCTGGGTACATGTAGCTCAAACTGTGTGACAAAGGTATTTTGTGTCAGGGAAGAGCCAGGGGACTGCCTCTCCCACCTTGGCTGAGGTCCTCAGCAGTATTTAGAAAGAGTCGGGAGTAAGACAGTGTAGTGCTGGCAACACAGACTAGGTCGACCAGGTCGAGGCAGAGCCTCGTTCTTCCAAGATGCCAGTCGCCAGGGTTCAGTCCAAAGCTCACTGAAGGGTTTTCCATTTTACAGGTGCTTTTTGTACTTTATGAAGAAAATTTGGAAGCAGCTTTCTGACCTAAAATCTCCATTTGTGGAAAACAGAGTGTAAAAAATGAAGGTGAATTTAGGTAAAACACAGACAAAGAAAAAAGCACATTGGGAACTTCGGTCTGTCACTTTGGAGAATCCTTTGAAAATCCAGCCAACTTTTTTTCAGAATTAGAAATGCAGACTTCAACTTGCTATTGCTAGAACTAAGGCCAAGTCATCAAACAACACTGCTATAGAAGCAACTCTAGTACTCTCCTTCTGAGCATTACAGGAAATATCGGATAGAGCAGAGCAACAAAGAAATTAAATCTATCTAAGCTGTGGCAGAGGGATCAAGTGATCTTGCTTCAATGGTGTAATAAAAACATGGCACGGTTGCTCCTGTTATGACGGCTCTGATCCAAATGCATGTGCAGTGCTTCTTCCCTTCTTCCACCCCGATCTCCATCTCACTGCCCTTTGCCTCTGCTTCTTCTTCTCCAACAGGAGGAAGAGGATCCTACAAAGAGAAAGAGTTCGTCATCTGCAGTCCTCTGATATCAGCAGATGCACAGAGCTGCAGTAAATCCAGCAGCACAATTAAAAACCGAAATGACGCCTGTAACTGAATATCATGACGAACATAAGCATGCCATTGCGAAAATATAGTTTGCGTGCCAGGTACATAATTACAGACGTGCTCCAGTCTGGGAGCATTTTATGTAGTGTTGATAAGATAGTATAAACCATAAAGTTAACTGTGTCTCCACTAACTGTTAAAAGGCTACTAAGGAAGAAACTGGGTTCTTTGACCCCTGGCACTCCGGATGTCTTTCTAGATTACCAGAACAGTCTCTTCCAGCATTTAAACCTTTGTGTGACCACAAGAACTGCCATGCACAGCAATCACAAGAGTACAGCTTAAGGATCCCTTTTCCTGCTCAAGGAAAGCACTCCCACTTAACAAAACGCATAGTCACACAACATCAGTATGGCTCAAGCACATGCCTGACTGTAAGTATGCCCTCAAGGGTCTTTCTAAGAAACTATCAAACCTTTAACAAAGTAACTTAAGTTTGCTCACATAAATGAAACAGCATTGCCCTACACACTGAAAACAGAGCTGTATTTGAAAACCTTGTCAGTAAAAGCCAAAGAGGCCAGCACAGACCTGTCAGTGCAGCTCCAGGGCTTGCCTCACGGCATTCCCTTTGGAGATGAGGTTGGTTGGGCCAATGTAAAAGTGGTATCAAAAAAAAAAAAAAAAAAAAAAAAATAGGAGGAGAAAGCAAAGTAAAACAAAATAAAACACAAGATTAAGAAAGAGGTGAAAGAGAAAGAGAAACAATTAGGAAAAAGTCAGAGGCAGCCAAAGAAGGGTGTTGGCTGAGGAAAAGAAAACAGCTGAGGGAAGTGTATATGGTGCTGTGTCAGGGCAAGGAGAAAAAAAGGCAGATAGGCTGTTCCTTGTTTCAGGAAATGATAAAAGATTGAGGAGATCTCAATTTATTTCCTTCTTCTCCCAGAAGCTAGATAAATTCACTGACTGTGATTAACGAACGACTCAAATGTTTCATTTACCTGCAAAGCAATTGTGATTAAGAGAATTAAGCATCTGTAAGGATCTATTAGTCTATTACCCCACTGACAAAAGAGGGGAAGGAAGTGATATGTTTTAGTCATTGGAGGGATTTTGGGAAAATAAATAAATGCCTACCTGTCTACAGCACAGGTAGCCTGTAGGAATACTGAGTGATGGGGGCAGGCACTGGGGACATATTCCAGGGGGGAAATCTGTTCAACACCTAGCCTGACCTGGCACGTACGACCTCTGACCAAAGCGTCAACACCTGCAGAATCACAGAGCAGGGTACAGTAATAGGGCGCCCTGGCATCCCCATTCAACACTTCTTTAATTTGTTGAAGGAAATTGAAACACACTTGTAAACATTTAAAAAAAAAAAAAAAAAATCAGGGATGTCTTAATGTTTGCTAAAGAACTCCTGTTCTCTTGGAGACTATTTTCTTTCACAGTTAATATCCAGCTGGAGGCTTTTAGTTCCGATGTAATCAAAACTTTCACAAAGTTTATCAAAGAACAGCTTCAATCTCTGCCCAAGACATTCTCAGAAACTAGCAAGAATTTGCAAAGAAAAACAGGGGAGAATGTTATGACACCAAGCAGAACATATTTCTTATTCTTTTCTTGTCATTTTCTAGGTATGTTCTTTATTAAAGCTGGTCTGTTTATCACTAATTCTGTATTGCCCTAAGAGAAGGACAGAAGCACAGTAAAGGGCTAGTGGTGGTGAAGATCGGGACATCGGGAGTGGACCTTGACCACTTCACAAGGGATGGGTATGCAGCAGAATGCAGACACCAACAGCTAAACTGATTTTCTTGACAGTGAATAACAGACATCCCCAGCCATTCCGAAAACTGCAAATCCCAGGTGCTGTAACATGCCAGTCACAACTGAGCTGTTTTCAAAGTAAGAAACTTTCCTCAAGGAGACACTGCTTTGTGTTATTTTCTAATTTACTGTGATCATCTTCCATCATGCATATTCCCTCCCTTCTTTCATATATTCCAGCTCTCTCATCAGTTGTTTTGTTCCAGTCAGAGACTCGGGAGACTTGTGTTTCAGATCAGTGTCTGGAGCTTGGACAAATCATGCCTTCTCTACTTTTTTTTTTTTTTTTTCTCCAGCCTTTCATCTGCTTTTTTGTTTGTTTGTTTGTTTGTTTTCAATTTAAACTTCCACTTTCACTGTTGCTGGGGCTCTAGTACTTGATGGCACACCACTCATGCCAGCAAGGTAGGTCTTGCTCCTGAAAGTGGTATCTGCTCACAGTCAGACTTCACAATGTAACAGATGCACCATTTTGGTGTCATTCCTCATGGGCTTTACTGCTACTTTGTTCCAAATGTCCCTTTGAAGTCCAGCGCTTTCAACTACTTTTCCATCAAGCTTTGCTAGAGCTAAACTTTCTAATACTTGTATTCTTTCAATCCTCCAAGGCTACTCCAATGTTTCAAGGATCCAACAGTTTTAAACTTAATTTTCTTTCCACCTAGCCTTGTAGTCTTGTGCTCCTTAGGAGTCAATGAAAAGAATTAAACCCTTACTCACATAACCATCTGGAAGTCTCCCTGTTGACTGCTCTTCAAAAATAAGCCCCCAAATACTCCTACCCTAGACAAAAGAGTGCAAATTTCCAGCCCGAGACTGTAGGCAAAGTCCTTTTTGTTTTAGAGGCAAAATCCAGCAGCATTCGGCATAGCCACGGTTACTTAGCTACAGGAACAATCCCTTATACTGCAGCTTTAGAAGTAGGCTCAGAGTCTTTGAAGTACTCCTGGGTAAAGATTTATCCCAGGAAGCTTCTGAGCCCTATGCCAGTTACATGCAAAACTCGCTTAAACTAACAGCATGGGAGCACTTGATGACATCCAGTATACTTAACACTAGCATGATGTTTCTTGTATCTGTTGCTCTTGAAGATAGATTTGCCATAAATATCCACCATGAGGTCCAAGACTGGCTTACTATAAACATTAACTGTTAAAAAACCTCACATCCAGGCACTGTGGTTATGCTAGGTGACATTGTTTCCTGAATTATATGTAGCATGATGCAGCACATGAATCAAACGGCACAAAAACATTCCCATCACCATACTGTGATACAGTGTCACACCTCTAACTGTCCACAAATACTTAAATTTTTATGTCAATTTTTTCTTCCAAATTTCCTTGGGAGAGAGATTGTTCGCAAACTCTAGCGTTGATGCTCATTCATTAGTGGTAGCATTGAGGGCCTGCCTGGATTTAGAGACGTTTGACTATCAGCTTGAGAGGAACAGAAGTTTGCTATTATCAGCAAGACTGATTGCAATGATCTTTGAAAGTAAGGGTTTAAGTTTCATTTCAGTCTCTATTAGATCCAAGTCTGTAACAGTGAGAGAAACACATAAACTCTACAAGTTTCCTACCAAGAGTCTGGAGCAAAACTGTGCCCCCAAAACAAGGAGTTGCTCAAAACCTGTGCTTAGACCAAATTGTTTCAACCCTTGAAAAGTTTGGGGGCTATCATCTCTCCCAGCACAGATGATTTTGGAAAACACAGTTTTAGCCTTTGCTCAGTCCTGCAATTTACAATACAGTGGCCTTTATCCATCAAATGCACTGCAGCATGCTCACGCCCTACATGTCCTAAAGGGGCTTTTCTGAACTAGGACCAAGTAGTGTCTTAGAACTCAAGATGAATGAGACAGCTAATCTGTCTTGCAGATTTTTTTCCCCCATTGCCCTGTGCGCTCCTAAAACTAATAGAATAACATTTGTGTGTGTATGCAAGCAACCCTGAATCAGCGCTGTTCTGCTGGGTTCTTATGTTACATTCTTTTGTGCTGCATAGAATTTCCACTAGGACATTTTGTCCCCCAGGCTTCATCAGCCAGTCTATTGCATCCACTCCCTGCCCCTCCCCCACGTCCTTCTTGTTGCATAATGTTAGCCAGGATGTTAAATTAACTCTCTTCCAGATGAGTTTGACATAATCTTATTTGCTTTCATAATGTCTATGCCAGTATGCAAATACATTACTCAGCACTATTGACTTTGCACTTTCACCAAACTATTAGCCTTTGTTTTTTCTAGTGATGGTTCACTATATACCAGATAGGAACATTTATCCACCAAACTGCAAAAGACTCATGTCTGGCAGGAGAAATCTGGTGACATTAAAAAACTAATCCTGGCTGATATTTGTTAAGGTTTAGGGCCAACTGAGGAAAATATCTTGTTTCCCACCTCCTCCCAGTGCCTTTCAGTATCTCACTCTTCTCCCTTTAAAGATACCAGATCGTGTATTTGTCTTGCGAGGCAAATCTCAACCACCTTCTGCTTATCTCTAGGATATAGGCAGTCACAGTGGCAGTTGTAAGGACAGAGCTTGCATTCAGTAGTGACAAGATCTCTACATTCAAACAGCTTCAAGGGTCCCAGGATCAACTGCAGCTGTCTCCTGTGTGCCAGGGCAAGACCAGTTCATACATCACTCTCTGTGTTTGTCATGAGAAGGACAACAAGATGCAGAAGTCAAAACAATAGCCAGATATCCAAGAGCCTCATGTCCACATGAAGGTCTGTCTTGTGATCAAAGGACAGTGTTACCATGGCAGTGAAGCCAGCCCTGGAAGTGCTGCCCAACACACAGGCAGCAATGAGAGTGAAGATGTCCGTAAGGCAAAGCTAGTCCAGGTATCTATCATATGACAGAGCCAACATTTGGGTGAAACCTGGGTAGGCTGCATCCCTGAAACCATGGGCTTATGGCTGGTGTGCCAGTCTAGCTGAGGAGCTTGGATAGATACAAACATATTGCCATATGCACCTTAAACAGGAAAAGTAAATAAGCTCTACTCTAATGCAAGCTAACAGGATTTGTAATGGTCCACTGTTATGCATAGTAAAGAAGTTAAAAAAAAAAGCTGGAGAAACCCGATCAAAGGAGATTTTTGTGCCTTGTTTCTGCTGTGAAATACACTTTGACCTACTACAGACTTACAGAGCGCGAAACTGCACTCAGAGATGCATTTTGTATTTGATCCCAACACAGCTAAATGCATAAAAAGCACCAGAAGAATTTAACACAGCACTTCCAGAGTGCAAAACAAAGGCACAGCAAGCAAACACAAGGAAGTGAGAAGTACAGCTTAAATGTCAGAGTACCAAACTGCACAAGTTGCTTTTTTCTTACTGCTCTGATGGATCTGGGGATGATCATGGTCCTGCTGGGCTGCCCATCTTCTAGCAGAGGCTGATATATGCTCATGGGTTGCTGTCTGCCAGCAGAGTCCAAAGCCCCTGCAAACAAATTGAGACACAAAGCAGTGGCAGGTGTCCACAGGCTGCCTTCACAGCTCCCCAGGCTCAGGCAGCTCTCTGGCTGTGTGAAAGAAGAAAAGCTCATGTTGCCCTTATTTATTTTGCTAACACCTCAACAGGGAACCACCAACATATGAGAATAGATGAAAGGCTCTTTGGCACAGTGAGAAACAGCACACCAGCAATTCAGTAAACACTTTGATTTCAACATGGTTGTGTCCTAAATAACCATCTCCTACACCAGACTATTTGTAAGCAGAGTTAAAATAACATAAGACTTTTCACCTGGAGTTACCATTTCTAATATTTTTAACCGTTAACAAGCTTAGAACTAATAATTATTTGATGCTGACTTGCTGCATTTCTTCTTCAAATGAGAGAAGTCATCTTATTACTATTTTTTTTCCTGTAGGCTCCTCTTTGTCTTTGTTTCAAGTACGACTGCATTTAGCATGGATGTTTCTGATACACTACCATGCCAAGAAAAAGTATTATTTTCTTTCATCCTTAAAACCATCCATAATCATACTAAACAACTGAAACTTGGCACACTGATCAGTTTTCAATAAAGACTACATGTGCTTTGCCAAGGAAGTATATTTAACTAGTGATGAACTATCTGTTCTGGAAAAAATATCAGATTTGTATGGTGTGCCTTTTTCATCAAACCAAAAGCCTTGGTATCGTTTGTCATATGAATGACTTGGGAAAGTGAATTCAGCATGGAATTTAAAAAAAAGGGAAGAAGTGTGATCCTCCTCTATGCTAGTTACCCTGAATTAGTTAATCTGGATTAAAAAAATATTTCAGTGGAGAAGGGGTGAGAAATACTTTAGATGTAGCTGCAGCACAGATGGAATGTCCCCAAGTACTAAGGGACATACAAACAGCAAAGGGGGTGATCGCTTTCTTTAATAAAGCAAATATCCATAAAGCAGATTTCAAATGCTGTATATTAAGAGAATCAAGAAACATTATTATAAAGCACAAAGCTTGAAGAAGGAAAGCAAGATCATCTGTTCAGCTAACTGCACTGTAATGGTCTGGAAATTCCAAATTCAGCTACAGCCGTTTCAGAAGAGCACTGCCAAGGCATTTAATTTAGTAAAATACTTTATTTCAAGGCTTCTAATTAGTTGAAGTATTCAACTAACAAAATAAATAAATAAATAAATAAATAAATAAATAAATAAATAAAGGGGGAAGGGGGGCACTGCAAAAGGGAAGGGAAGGGAAGGGAAGGGAAGGGAAGGGAAGGGAAGGGAAGGGAAGGGAAGGGAAGGGAAGGGAAGGGAAGGGAAGGGAAGGGAAGGGAAGGGAAGGGAAGGGAAGGGAAGGGAAGGGAAGGGAAGGGAAGGGAAGGGAAGGGAAGGGAAGGGAAGGGAAGGGAAGGGAAGGGAAGGGAAGGGAAGGGAAGGGAAGGGAAGGGAAGGGAAGGGAAGGGAAGGGAAGGGAAGGGAAGGGAAGGGAAGGGAAGGGAAGGGAAGGGAAGGGAAGGGAAGGGAAGGGAAGGGAAGGGAAGGGAAGGGAAGGGAAGGGAAGGGGGAGAGGGAGCAGGGGTAGGCTCAGTCTTCCCATGGCTTTTTATTCTACTCCGCACTTGCAGCTCCAGACTGCTTCTGGCCTAGACCTGGCAGCAAACGTCTGCAGCCAATACCTGCACATTGCATCACTGAGCAGCAATCCCTACTAAGAACAGGAGATACCTATGAACTGCAATCTCCATTTCAGTGGGAGGAACTGCTAAGCATAAGCACTTTGTAGGTAATCACAATGGGAAGCAGGAACAGAGAGTAGCCTGGATTTCTGTCACTCTAAGCCTTAAAACCTTTTAACTGCAATGCTTGTGTTTTCCGGTTTTGGAAGACTTGATCATCAAAAAACCCTCTAATATGTGAATTGGACTCTAACTCCATCAACAAGTCAAGGTCTAGAAACTGTACTATAAGTTCCACTCAGACTTCAAAATTCAATATTCAAAATGCCGTTTATGCTATATTCATTATTCAGTTCCTAATAAACGTGAAGAATTACTGTAGTGGAACATCCATCAAAACAGTGTCTTTATTTCTCTGTAGTCTCACATACATAATCACCTCTAATCACAGTTGCTCCGGTCATTCCATTAGAAAAGTAAGGTATGGAAACAAAACAGTACGAGCTTCACTTTAGCATCATCTCTGCCAACGCATGGACAGAGCATGGAGGTGTTCATAGGTCTACCATGGTATGGATGACAGAGCTAGGCTAATCTCCAGTTCTTTGCTGTTCAGTTTTGACAACTAATAGCACTACCACTGAAGTCAACAACAACCAGCTTGATTGCCATCTCATACTCACCATTATGGCTGTACTTATTTCAAATTATTTCAGCCCAAGATCTATTAGGCAAAGCACCATCCCATTCATTTATGATGCCTTTTACATAAACAAGTTCCTACGGATTCCCCGCAAAAATTCAAGGAAAAAAAAAAAACAGAGTAAGGCTGTGACATGGGACAAAAGGCCTATCAAGAGAGGACAACAGTGGGTGAAGAAAGGTGGACTTCCTAGCCTTTCCCTGCCACTGCTGGAATTTGAGTGTCTGAGTAAGTTTACTCCCCACCACCAATGGTTCACTCCTGTGGTGAAGTCATGAATCTATGCTTGAGTAAGCAACATCTAACATCTGTTGACACAGAGATGACTGTGACTCACAGATTCGCAATGCCATGACTTGACTGCCACAAGATATGCTAGAAAGTTTGCCTTTTCTTTAGAATTTCAATAAAAAGCACTTATTCCCATAATAGGTAATACATTGACTGCCTATTTCAGTTTTGTCTATTATATTTAAATTTGCTCTAATTGTCATGCAATCACTTCCTGCAACAGTAAAAGCTTTCTTTTTTTCCTCACAATACTACACATGGCACAACAAATCCTAGGAAAATTAAGGTCTAGAAATGGGATCTAAATTAACAAAGAAATAAATTAGAGATTGGTAAATATTCATCTGTCTGTCAAGCCATGGTAAGCTGGTGTATGTGGTCTTTAGGTTACCTTAATCAAGAAAGAAAAAAAGAAAACAATCTCACTTGGACCTAGTTCAGGATTCAGTAAGACCAATAATGCAGGTTGTGGTAAATCAGCATACATTTTATCCCAAAACAGTGGTATATGCGAGTAGGGCAGCCCTGCACAGCTGATCAAAAGTGCCACAGAGAGCTGCTGAAACCAGATGGCTTTCCCTCATGTGCTGCTCTTTGCTGGCAAACAAATGCTGCAGCAGCAGCATGGATGTTGCTCCCAATGGCAAAATAAATGCCTTTTTAAATAGCATAGCTAACACAAGTTTGGCATGAGCTAACAAACTAAGGAAAAATAGTTAGCACTGATAGAAGCCACATTTTAACCAATGTGGTAGCGCTAAAATTATCTTTGATTCCCAAATGATACTACTCACTCAGTCCTTGCCTTAAATTTACAATGAAAAATTAAATATTTCATCACTAGTATTTACATTTGCAGTGCTATGTTTTTAACTACTGAAGCTGCCTGCCTCAGGTACCTCTGACACGCTATGGCCTTGAGCACTGGCAAATAAAACTAAATAAAATACTGGCCATAAAACTAAACAGATGTCCTTTGGATCATGCTTTCAGCCACCTATGTCTTAAGGTGCTCTGCATGACTCTGCAGGACACAGAAGTTAGATATGTATCTTTCACATTTGCACTGGCTGTGCAGAAGAGTCACAGCAGAAAATCCTCTGCTGAAACAGTTGCTGCTTGGGAGAGAAGTGAATTAATGACCATGAGAGCAGCCTGGTGCTGCGTAGTCCTGGAAGCAACGTACGTCTAAGTCCCTTTGCTGCTGCACTGAAGACCCTGAATAGAGCAGTCTTGCTAGCTACCAGGAACAAAATGACTATAATAAACACAGTCTCCAAAGGTCTGCAAATACCAAAACTGAGAGGAGGGGACTGGGACAATCCAAAGATGTAACACAGCAGCAGAGGGAAACTGAGTCAAGGAAATTGCAGAATGACCGTCTGGAGACATTTCTTTATCATGAAGTTTATGAGGCTAAAGGAAATTCTGGCGAACAACAGCTTTTGGGTCACTGTAAAGCAGACTGTCTCAAGAACGAGGACAGGGAGGGAGGTCCCTTGTCATGACTCATCTCCTTTCTTCTACACTCTTTTTGCACATAATACTTCCACTATAACAAAGAAAGCAGTTGACCATGTAATGGAGCTCCAGATTGTTCTTAAGAAACATCTTGTACAGCCTTCTGATGACTGACACACATCAGATCTATCTTGGTAGTCATACTATAAAACAAACTTCTGGTTTCCAAAACCTTCGGCACAGATGGAGATGTTACTACTCATATCCTATGTGAAGTAATCTAATTGTTGAGATTTAAACCAATCTTTTCCAAAGGTAAGGAACTGTAGGTGAATAAAGACAACATTACTTGTTGTGGAACTTGTTATAGAGTACCAGAGGTGATGACAGCCTAAGCCACAGCTTCATCAGGTAGTCAGAGAGGGTCCTCTCACACAAAATTTGAGGAAAAAAGATATTATATAGGGTAAGCACTTTCTTGAAGAGACACTTATAGCTATCAGAAGAGTAGAAACTGGAGAAAAATTGGAAAAGAGAAAGAAGAAATGAAAATGTGGACCTGGGGCAAACTCGAAATGTGAAACAACCAGGGCAGAGAGAGAATTTTAAGATCAGACTATATCTCTGTGACACAGATGTGAGCATTCAGATGAAGAGGCACGGGACTTACACAGATATCCTTTGTTGGTGAAAGTCAATAGAATAACACAGAGCAGAGCAGCTTCTTTTCAGTGATGAAGCAATGTTCCACAGCTACGCGCATGCAGATCTGGACAAAAAGAAAGTGTCACTGGCTGCTTTTAATCACAGCAAAGTCCAACTCACTTTTCAAAATGAGTGCTAGCACTGAAGACTAGAGCTGCCAGCACAATGACACCATGACACGTCCTGAGGCACAGGCACTATTTTGGGGAGCAACCACACAGTCATTCAGTCTCCAGCCTTTGTCAGCTGTAAGCACACTCTACGGACTCTGAGGGCAAAGACATTTAGTACCCTAAGGAGAACTACAGGCTCCCTCTCTCCTGGAGGTATACAAGCTCCTGGCAGGTGCGGGCTGCCTTACTTGGAGCCCTCACTTCCCTGTGTGCAACATGATGGCCTGCAGGGCTGCATAGGAGGATTTATCAATAGGAACACTCTTTGGCAATCGGATTTCTGAGGGTAAAATCACACATTCAGCTGACAGTGAGTGAGTCATGGCTCATGGGATGCTAACATCTGAAGTTTTTAACTGGTATAAATACTCTACTGTATCTTAATTGTTTGTGCATTTATTTGTAGTCTTGGCTTGCACGAATTCTGCACTACAGTTTCACTAACACAGACATGGAAACTTTCAAGAACTTCCTCTTTTCTTTTAGGTTTAGGTTTTAGGTTTAGCTGTATCGTTTATTCCCAAATAGACGGTAGGCCTCTCATTAAAAAACAAAAAAAAAAAAAATGTGAGGACATTAATGTTGCATAATCAGGCACACAACATTGTGTGTGCTAACAAATTTGATGTGACAGAATTGAAGTTGCCCATGCCGCCGTCTCTTGGCCCCTTTCTTGTACTACAAGATTGCCAGCTGCTGCCCTCTGTGGCTCAGCTTTCCTGGTTGCTCAAGGCAGATACTGCTCAGTGGCAGACAAGTTTTTCCCTCACCTAAATTCCACCTAAGGCTTCTCATGGGCTTGGTGTCTCCGCAGGCCCAAAGCCTACTGGTGGGAAACACTTGGCACAGAGACTTAGGTGGAATTCAGACCAGCTGAATCTGGAGCCTAATGAGCAGCTATTCCTTATTCTGTTTCTTCCTCATTGTGCAGAATGTGGCCCCAGGCCTCAGTTACTGCACGCTATTCAATCCCTGCTCAGAATGCAGCATTATTAATTTCCTCATCACTAATTTCCTATGGCACTCCTCATCCTCACATCTTAGTGCCCTGAAAACACAGTGTGTACTGTGAGGCAGCCTACAAGGCAAGCAGTGGACCTCTCCTGCCCAGCAATGACTGCAGCTCTGGGACTGTTGCTCAGGGACATCCAGCCAGGTGTCCCTGAGGTGGTTAGCACCAACACACCATGTGCCAGGGAGGGTCCACCCCTGGCTACACCCCTCTCCCTGGCAAAACTTCCCTGAACGCAACAGAGCCACCAACAATTGCCTTCTGCAATACCATCAGAGCAACATTATGCAAAGCCCATGTTAAAAATCTGAGAGTAGTTACCATACCGCTCTCATTATGAGAGCAAGAGACTGTTATCATAGAGTAATGGGCTCCTGCTGGTCCACTAATGTAGAAGCAGTGCTGGAGGCACTTATGGAAACAATGTGGAAGCCTGACACTTATTCTCAGAGTGGGCGGCATTGATCCCTTCTCTTAGTGTACTCTTACAGTGTCTTTATTCCTGTTCAAATGCAGAATATATTGACCTAATCATTTCCTCCACTGGGCGCTGGTGCAGTGGAACAGAAGACTTTCTTGACTTCAACACAACAGATCATCCAGAATGACACTTGAGGTGAATTAGCCATCCAGGTCAGTGCATCTCTGCACTGCAGGGGAGGAGCCACAGAAAGATGTCAGAGGTGTTGTTTACTGCCTTGTGACTTTCAAGCTCATTAGCATAAATACAATTTAAATATGTCAGGTTAAACTCAGAAGCCCTTTACTGCTAAGCTCTCTCTTACTTTCTCCTCATGCAAATGCAAGTGCGTTATGCACTAGAAGCATATATCTCATATTTTCTCATTTTCTCATATCTTGCACCTTAATGTAGATTTTGTGTAGAAGCATGTCATCAGCTCAGGTTGCACTCCTTAGAAGCACCACTTTTACTCAAACAAAAGAAACTTGGAACTTAATCATGGGAAGAGGGCTTGGAAAATCCACTGGTAGTGAAAGCTGACTTCTCATGGGTGGTTGTTGAGATAGCATTTCTAATTTCAGCAGTTTCAGAGCTTTCTTGGGAGCAAAATGTCACCAGTTCTTGTATTTGTAAATTAAAACCGAACAGCACAAGTGCATTACCTTCCCAAATCTATAGGCAAATCTGCCAACATCTTGCTGCTGCTCTGATTGTCACAAGCTCCAGGAAGCTGAAATGAGCGCAAAGCTCTCACAGTTAAGCGCCAGTTAAAAGGTGAAGAAGCCTGAAAAAGAAGAGCCTGAGGTTAGGAGTGTGGGAGAAACCTCTTCTGCAGTTTTTTTCACAGGGATTGAGGGACTGGGAGATGACTAGAAGAGAAGTACCCTTTCTTGTAGCAGGACAGAGATTCTTCAAGGGAGGCAGATGAGTTAGAAGCTTCTGATCCTTTCCAGAGGGTACTGG